ACTGCCCGCACTCCCAGGCCCCATTTGTGTTTTACAGACTGCAGAGCCCTCACAGTACGCATGATGCCACCACTTCCTGCACGTGGCTGCCAAATTCATTTAAAATGCAGTTTCAAACAGGACAGGAAAATTAGCATCAGCAAAGTATGCAAGCAAATCCTGGTTGTCCAAAGGCCAGTTATGTGATCATGAGTGGGAATGGCAATGGCTCACATGAGCTTGAATGATGACCAAGATGTCCCTGAAATTCCTGTGAGATTTGGTCAGTCACTGTAAAAGTCACTGTATTAGAAGATCAAAACCTTGTTCATTCACACAATCACTCTACATTAAGCAAAGTATTGTTACAGCTGCCACAGTGTGAGTTTAAAGCCCTACTTTGCTTACTTAAGTAAACATGAAGCTTCTAATATGAAAAAAGAGTTCATTTGTTTGAGACACATACAGAATAGCTGAAAGTATGGCAATTCTCAAAAATGTGCTGGTACATTTACTGCAGAATATCTTCTTTAAAAAAAAAGCCTTAATATTAGATCTTACTCTCTCACTCTATTGAATTTTTTGCTAAAAGCAGCAAGATTATCTCCTTTTTTCTCCTGCAAATTAGCCAGACAATACACAACACTGCCACAAAAATATTTAAGTCATTCAGATATAACAAGATCATGCATCTACTAAGGCAATACAGTCTTTGGACAGACATGCATGTCATAAATATTTTCATAATCTGCTTTAAAAAAAAAAAAAAAGGAAGATTGAAAAAACAGTATAGGAGAAATCCTACAGATTTTCATTCCAAAATGGGTAATATACGTAAATGGATACATTTGATAATTCTTCATGTGTTCAGGAGCACAAATATTGAATTTGCAAGATGTTAGTTACCTAGGAGAAGTGGTACTTGGCATTTCACTGAAAGGTAGTTTTATGTCCAAGAAATATGCATTTGAATGTATTAGAGTAATATTCTTTATGCAGTTTATTAGTAAAGTATTGAGATTGTATGAGGAGGAGGGGGAAACAAAAAAAAAATTAGAAATGCAAAGGTTAGAATTTCAATAGCCACATTTACATGTAATACTGCAAGTACTACGTATTTTATAGAATATATTAGTTAATTTTTTCACTAAATGTAAGTCAAAGAATTAAGAGCTCATTTATGGCTCTTATGAGATAATAACCTCAGTGGACATAGCTGGCTTTGAGAGGAGGGTCTGCCAGCACACAGTGGTGACAGCTTACAGAAGCCAGGAATGGATGTCCAGGGAGCCAGGCAGGGAACAAAGAGCTTTTCCTTGGGGTGAAGCTCCACAAGAAGGCACAGCCAACCTAATATTCAACTGCTTCCAAAGATATTCTCCCACTTACTCCTTCCACCCACACCAGCTCTGCTGCCCCACAGATCTCTCACTCCAGGCCTGAGCAAACCGTCCCAGCAAGGCAAAAAGACAACCAGGCACAAGATCAGGCATGAGGCAAGCAGGGGGAGTGGAGCTGGGAGCAGAGGACACTTCCAACAATGGTCACCTGTCTGGGTGTGTTTATCCACCTTGCAAAGTCCCAAAGCCTTCCTTCAGTTCTACTCTTAAATCCTCAGGCTGTGAAGTCTGCTCCATGGCTACCTCAACTACTCACAGCTTACTCCTTGCTGAAATACTGTCAGCCTCCCACAGGCTGATGTAGAAAAAAAAAAATCCAAAAACTACAGCTCCTGCTTCCCCAGAAACTGGGAAGAGAAGGGCCAGACTCTAGCACACCCACTGATTCCCTACACTGTTCCCAGTCCACTCTTTCCGCTGGCACTTTGAGCAGAAGTGAAGCCCAGCTTAAAATCTGAAATGTTTTAGTTCAGAGCATCCAGCATCTACCTAAGAAGCTCTTGAATTCAACACATCAGCCTCCACATGCTTGTGCAAGCTATGTTCATGCTACAGCAATTCAAATTGGTCTCTTCAGGTCCAGGTTTCCAAGTGAAGCCAACATCAGGTTGCTCTACGAGGACTATTTATCAAAAAATGCCTTTCTTATATTACTTTTTGCAAGAGGGAAAAAGGCAACTAAACCAGAAGACAGAGAATCTCCTGCCCTCTTTGGGGGGGGGGCTTTATGATTTAAGAAGAAATTTTTCATTTTATCTCACCTTATTAATAGAAAAAGAAAATTAAAGCAGCTTCCAATCACAGCAAAGTGAGTCTGGAAAAAACTTTTCAAGAATCTACTAGCAAGAGCAGAGAACACAGCTGATGAGATTCTTCGCAATCAATATAATAACAAAGGCCTTCCTGTTTTTTCAGAATGTCTGTGAGAACTCACCACCTAGTGACACTTTCCTCACGGGTTTGCCAAGAGCATTTTTGGGACAGGCCGGAGCTCTCTTGTTCCCTGTTTACACACAGGAAAACCGTGTCACAGGGAGTCTTTGGCCACATCTGAGCACACAGGTGCAGCCCAGCAGCCCCACACTCCTCAAGACAGCTCCAGGACATGTGTCTTGCAGCTGCAGGTAAACTAGCACAGCTCAGGCACAGCACTAACAGACCAGATTCATCTTGCACCTGATTAGCTCAGAGTCTGAGTTTGACTGCATTCACCCATGCAGAAAAGCCCTAATAGACCTCCCAAGCATCAAACAAGATGCCCAGTGATGATTCATTCCTGTAGTCCCTGACTGTAGCTTCAGCTTGGACTGTCCTTTCCCTCAGGGCTGCATTCTCTGATCCATGGCCAGAATAGAACACAGGAGCTGAATCTCCATCTTCAGTCACCAGATGCTGCAGCCCCATCAGCCCCCA